ACATAGCGAAGAATATATAAAGCCATTTTCTACCATAGACCCGAACATCAGCATTCTTACCATGGGTTCTTTACGAATGTATATTCAAAAAGGATTCTAGATAACGAGCATTCTGGTTATATTCTGCTCATTCCTGCTCACCGCATGCTTGGTGGCTTGCTGAGTAGTAAACCGTTGGTAACAGGAGTGCTTTCGGCAACGTGGAAGAGGCGTCAAACATTGTTTAGAGATAGGAGTGCAGAAACTGTGATGGCATAAACATAGGAAGGCCTGTCTGAGGTTTCACCTCTGAACAAAAGTAATTTTTCCTCAGTTCGCCAACGTCAGGCCAATTACTCTGCTGTTGCCCAGCATGCCATTTCTTCGGTCAGACGGGTGTCTATAATTAAGAAAAACCATTTATGAGGACGTCTTTAACAAATGAGAATCTTCCTATTTTTGGCAGAGTAGCATCGAGTGTACAATGAATATTCTTTTTTCTTTGTGATAGATGAAAGCTGACGTTAGTAAAAGAATTCGAGAACGACGCCGTAAGTGATTCTGTCACTTGAAGCTCTTACTCCCTTATGTTCATAACTTTATGTTATGTCATTCACGATTGCTTTATCAGAAGAGAAAGTGAGATGCATCTGACACTGAAGGTCTGAAATACTACGAATCCGTGGCACGATTAAATGCCCTTCAAGCCCGTATAAGCAAGAGAGTGGGCCAGTAAGCTATAGAGGAGCTGAATGGCATAAAATTCCGTGATATCGAAGGAAAAATAAAACATTCAAATCAAAACGTAACTTTGCCGCGTTGCCGTAAAAATGTATGAACAAATCAGCCATCGTTTAAACAACAGGTTTCACATTCACGGAGGATGCAATAAAATCTTCTTTGGATTTTGTTTAGCTGATTATTTTTGCCTTATGTTAAAAGCGGCTTAAGACATTCAGTGGGCTAAGACATGCAGAAAGTAATCACCGTAAGTTTGCTGGCTATATAGGATGATTCCTATGAAAGGGGATTATTCCTGTGAAAAGTACCAACCTTACACGGTGTTAATTGTGTTCAGCAATTACCATGTAAAATTTCGTGCTACTTAGTATAGCGACCGGTCATTTCAATGGCACATTCAAATTACCGACACAGCTCGATAGTCAGCATTTCATGTATTGTTGTATATCACAGTGGCGGAATTGCGCTGAGAGGCACATTTGAATAAAAGACATTTCTGATCGGCGTTTCACTGTCGTTCGTATAAGCTGTTTTAATTTCCATTTAAAACTAAGACTATAAACTTTGCTTAAGAAAGCGATCTGTCACGTAGCGACTGCTGTCGAAGAACCTTGCGCGACGCACCTTCAATGATTAGTTCGAAACTAGCCCTATATCTGGTCGTTATTTTGTTACTACAGCCAATCCCGAAGGCGAAAGCGCAGGAGGAGATTCTGCTTGGACTTGAGGCTTCGTATCTTATCGCCAAAGGTCTCAAGTATGCATAGTAGTTTGATTTTTTAGACTCCCTTGTGTAAATAATATTTTTTAAGACATCTCTTCTGCTATATATCATCGAGGCGGGAGCGAAAGGCGACATACCAGAGAACAGGTCAACTTCCTCCGGACGAAGACGATTATGAAGAAATGGCGACAGCACTTGTAGAGGGTTTCAACGTTAGTGCATTCAAATGATGACTGTTTGCAGAGCAGATTAAGTTATTAAATTTTTATTTGCACCCAGCAAGTAGGTATTGCTTATCTTTTGCCAAATCGTGAACAGTGACTTGAAATACCTGAAAAACACAGTTTCACTGGGATAGCAGCAAATTCAACTTTCAAGAAATTATAGTTTACTGCAGTTTTATCTGCCTTTCGGAGAAGCAACGTTGAGTCACCGTTTCAGAACTTTGGCACCTGCCATAATGGCCTGCTGGGTGAATAAATAATTTTCAGTTCTTCCTGCAATTTCCACAGCCATTAATCTCAAAACAATCATGCAATGAAAAAGTAACAGCAGAAAGTAGCAATGGATGACAAAACTCCTTATGCTTCATTAGCAATTTTGATTTTTGGGTGTAAGAATAACGTTCTCAACACAAAATTGGGACAGGGCGTTGAAGGCAGTTATTAATGAAAGTTTTACATCGCTTCGCCCACTATTTAGTTAAGTGAACACTGAGCGACAATAACTAAACTAATATATTGAAAAAGTAATACATAATGGACTGACTGATCAAAAGATTCAAGCCTTGAAGGTTATTAAGGCATAATGGGAGCCTAAATTTTGTCCGCTTTATTCTGATGATTCTAAAAGTATCAAGAAATGATCGAAACGTAGTACCGATATCACTTCATCACATCACTCAAAAAATGCTTAAGCTTTCTTGGAGTAAGTAAAAAACGTAATGAAATGACAAAGAAAGAATTGCGTCACTTACAGGAAAAGACACCCTTTCAGTAAAACATCGAAAACCTTTCAGAATCACCATGTCTGCCATTATGAGAGGCGTGATGATAGTGTATCAGCCCGTGAATGGGTTTGCTATGCTGAGGGCACGCGCCGTCAGGCCACTGAAAATTGGTCTGTTTTGTGAAACTCTGAGATTCTATAATGTTCTCCTTTTGGCACTAATCACTCATGATTAATGACCTGATTATAAACTGACGGTGTGATACACGATTTCCTTCCAACCGATCGAAACGGCGTTGCTGCCTGCCATTCCGCATTGCTATCTGTCCAAACTCTCACAAAGTGTATCGATTCTTTGAAAGACTGAGAAGACATCGGCAGCTTACGAGGCTAGTCAGAACAGACTGATGACCAATCACTCACCGACAAATTCCGAAGAAGAGATAAGATCAGAGAAGTGGCAAAACGAGGACATGTAAGGCGAAGCTTTACGTATTGACGTTTACGGCCAGACAATTGAAAGCCTGCCCTTATTGCCCTAATATTTAACCCTGAAATGTAAGACAAAACCAGTATCAACACTCTGATCCGGTATCAGAAATCGATGGATATCGAAAACGTTATGGAATTGGCAAACTACTGTGCAACATATGCTTTGTAACACCGATGCTACATTCCATCTATGCTTTTGCATAGAAAGAGCGGCAGATGTGCTACTTAAATGCACTTCCCCCTTGTACAACATCGCTGAGAGGTTCGGTCATGAATCCAGCGTGTCGCATGTGTTAAACATTATCTGCTTAAATGGCCAGCTCAGGCACCACTAGAAACAAGGGTGAGTAAATTTAATATCAGAAATTGGAATGTGAACAGAAATCGGAAGGCTACAGCGTGATAGCTAGCCTGAAACATCAGGGCGTGGTTTTGCCCCTCATGCATTTGTCTGTGATGATCGGAATGCAAAGATTACGGAGAATGACTGAAATCGAAAGTCAAACTGATTGAAAGTCACAAACACTATTTTCCTAATCGGCAGCTCCATGTGATCAGTAGGTGTAAAACGTATTTTTTAAATGTCTGACTGAATATTAAATAGCGCAGTCGTTTCATTGGCTAATGAAGTCTGCCTTTCGTTTAATGAACAGAAACTTCTGTCATCTAGTTTTGTGCTTGTCTGTTCTTTGAGCCATCCGCTTCTTCGACGGCTCATTTTCATCTGCAGCGATGAAAGTACGGTCTCTTTTATATCCGGTACTGGTGCTGATGCTGCTGAACCCGGTCGCAACCGTCGAAAAAGACACCTGGATAGAAATAGCGGCCAATCGAGCGCGTTCGCTTGGAAAATTCATAAAGTTAAGCAGAGTTATGTTTATAGTAATCATTTCGCTCATTTCGTTTCTCTTAAGGAATGTTTTCTGTTACGCTACGACGGGCCACGGACAGAACTCGGCAGCTGATGATGTCACCAAGACTGACACCATGTCGAAGTAAACCATACATTGAAACCAGAGCAGTTTAGACAGAATATTTCAAAGGCAAAAAATTGAAACGATTTCGGTTAACAAACAGAAATATGTCATTAAAAGAAAGTTTGTCGAAAATTAGTAGCCAGTTATTGTGCTGAGTAAGTGTCAACCAGTTTCAAACAGGATATCAAAAGTTATTATTTATAAATTGCCTGTAATTTATTAGACAGAATTAAAATTCGACTTGTCCTGGTTATGAAACGCAAAACAACGCTCCTCCAACATTTATTACTTTTCCATTTTTGCCACCTCCATTGACCAAGTAATTGAACCATTGAATCACAGCAGCATGTGAGTGAACGACCGAACACAGCAGAATATAGTTTCAAATTCCTTAAGGTCTCTGAGGTGAGCCACGTAAAAGGCTCATCATCCTTTGACGTCGCAAAATGCAGAAATTACCTCTGTTGATCCAAGCCGTCATAGAATGTGTACACGTGATTCCCAAAAGGCACCTTGTTCACTTTCTTCGCCATCGCCCTTTGCATGACTAACAGTTTGTTCTCGAGGAGAACAAAGCCGAGAAGAACAAGCTGATGGTCATGCGAAGAGTCACTCGGTCAGTTTCTTATCCTTTCGAGTTGCGGAGTCAGACACATCTGACAGTGCCGCTAACGATCCGATTCAGGTGCCACCGTTTGAGTTTCGGATGAACATAACTTGAGTTTGGAGCAGAGTCCTTCGGAAGACCAGCACCAGGAGATTTCTGGCCATTCCCGGCTTCTTTTGCCGGTCATTTCAGCAAGTAGCATCTATTTCACCCTCCTTTCTGGAAGTATTAGCAAAACGTGATCAAACCATTGCAGCTGTGTCTTATCAATCTTCAGAAACAGGGACTCCCTCAGATATCTGAACTCCCGGTTATGTTCGGACGGGTGAGAACTGCGATTTGTCTCACAAAACCCACCTCAGTCCCTTATATAGACTTTTCTTGATAGACCCAGTAAAGTAATGTCTCGATAATTAGAGCAGTTCTTACGGTCTTTCTTCCTTCTTGAAGACTGGTGCTATCATTAGAGCTCACCAGTCAACTGACGTCTTTCATACAGTTATTTGATTTTGACAGAAGTGTCTTAGCCACGACATGCCTTGTTCCCCTAATGCTTTAAGTATTTCAGGGCGGATTTAATCGATTTCAGTAGTCTTACCATTTTTTGACCTTTCTTTCGACAAAAATCTCATAATTTCTCTATCACTCTTCCGGCGAGTCATCCTGCGGTTCCCTTGGCTAAGAAGTTTCTCAAAGTACTTTCTCTATCGCCAAAGTACGTCCTCATACTAGGAAAGATAGTACTTAGACTTATCACTCAGGTCTCGTAGTCTGGTAATTCGATTCCAGAACTTAACCAAACGTTTCCCATGCTTCATCTTTCGCACTGATCATTGCCTTCGGCGCTGCTTTACACACACAGTGCCACATTCAAATTGAAGACTCATTGCTTCCAAGCCATCTCTTGAATGCAGTCTTTTCAGACGACAACTAGTTGACCTCTGGTGTCCATGAGGAAGCCAACAGCATTCAAAGCGGCAGCTCCTAGCAAGCCGCTCTTAAGACGAAACCCTGTTTCCGCTTCAGCTGTCAAAATGAGATCTGTACAAACAGTGGTACGATGTTGTTTGCAAATTTTGCTCTCGTGTCCACCGAAGAGAATGTTTCCCATTTGATTCTCCGGTTGCTTCTGCCATCGGATCTTCGTACGTTACTCCATTTCTTACAGCGTAGCATGTCAACAACAAGGTGATGATCAGCTGATAGCTCTGCGCCTCTCTTAACGCGAACATCGATTACTGAGCGTCTTAGGTCAGACGATGCGATTACCAAATCGATCATCGACTTCTGTGCACAAGCTTCCCGGTACCAGGTGTACTGATGCACTTTTCGATGCTCGGAGAAGGTATTCATAATGGACAATCCATTGTTTGCATAAAACCGCAACAACTTCATGCCGTTATCGTTGAGGTCGCTGGTGCTGTTCTTTCAAATCACGCTTTATGCTTTTCAGTGTCTGCTCCGAAATGCACATTAAAATCACCCATGATATGAGGGACTCCGAATTCGACACTTCGTACGGAGCACACTCCACTTCCTCAAGGACGAAATCATGTTCTTCCTCTAATAGACTTGTAACAAGGTCAACAATTTTGCCTGTGTAGCTTTAGTTGGAGGATTGGCAATCTTTAGTCAGTTCCGCCAGCCACGTTGGGTTCTACGAGAACGGCCACACCGGCCTGAGCGCGTATCTTGAAGTCGACACCCAAATATATAACTGCACCTCCACAGAGTATCAAAGTTTTAAAGCACTTGCACTTCGTTTACGGGAGTACAACTATGTCTAGTCAATGTCGTGCGACATTATGAGATACCTCATCCTCTGAGTAAGGAAATATTCCAGACTTTGAGTTCCCGGTGTGGGAATCGTTCCCCTGGAACCTCGTGACGTGACATAATTGCATCGATCGCGTTGTCCGCCTCCACTGATCAGAACGGGTAGCGGCATCGTTATATACTGATATGTTCATTGCCTTCTTGTCAATC